AGGGCCGGGGATTTAGCTCAGTGGTTCCACCACCTGCCTCACAAGTGGAAGGACCCCAGTTTGATCCCCAATACTAAAAGAAAGATAGTGAAATCTTCAAGATCATTAGAAAGTTTTTGCCAGGTATGGTGGTACACAACTGTAATCCCAGCCCTTGGGAAGCTGAGGCAGGAGGATCACTGAGTTTGAGGCCAGCCTGAACAATATAGTGCTTTCAAGACCAGCCTGGACCACATAGTGAGACTCTGTCTCAAAAAAGAAAAGTTGTCATGCAGAGAAAGTGATAAAATAATGAACCAGATGGAAAGGAAAGAGTACATATAGAGAGAAGGAACAGAGATGGAGAGTGGAAATGCAATCAGTGTAGAATTACCAAAGCACAGGGTTCATTTGGATACCTGGAGATGAAATTGGAAATGTAGGAGGGGCCACAAGGGTGGAACCTTTTATGACAGGCATGGCCAAAACTGCATTGAAGAACTTTTTTTTTTTTGAACCGGGGATGGAACTCAGGTCCTTGCGCTTGCGCAGCATGAGGCAAAACCACGGAGCTAAATCCCCGGCCCCATTGAAGAACTTTTTTTGACTTGATTTATAAATCATTGCAAACTTAAAGAAGAGTTGAGAGAATAAAAACAATGCAAAGGAACTCATATACCCCGACTCACCTATTGTTAATGTTCTGCCACATCTGCTTTGCCACTTGTTCCATTTTTAGCTATTATCTGTATATAGACATAAATTTAGGACCAACTAAAGGTAAGTTACCCACATCATGATCCTTGAACTGCAGTATTTGGGGATGTATTTCATAAGACTAGGGTAGTTCCCTTATCTAACCACAGTATAGTCATCAACTTTAAATTTAATATTAGTACATTTCTGTCTAATCTATCATCTGCATTATAGTTTAGTTAATTGACCCAATAATGTCCTTTGTAGATATGTTTCCTTCCCATACTGAAAGTAGTCTAGGGTCAGGTATTGCATTTGGTCACCACTTGTTACTTAATTTTTTAAAAAATTTGGCCTCCTGTGGTTTATTTTATGTATCATAAAATTTACCCATTTCAAGTGTACAACTCAGTGATTTCTTTTTTGGTAACTTCATTGAATGGTACAACCAAGCCCTTTAAGTGGGTTTAGAGCCTGGGAGTTTACCATTTGGCTTACCTGGGCTGCACTGACTGAAGAGGAATTGCTGTGGGCTACATATCAAGTGTATAACATAGTTACTGTATTAGTCAGCTTCACCATCACTTTCCCCATCACCCAACACCCACAATTTGAAGAACGATAGGTTTATTTAGCTCACATTTTCAGGGCAGTCAGTTTATGGTCGGCTGGCTCCATGGCAGGAACATCACTGTGGAAAGCTTATGTTTAACTTACTGAGGAACCACAGAACTATTTCCAAAATGACTACACCAGCAACATACAAGGATTTCATGTTCCCCATAGCTTCACCAACACCTGTTAATTTCTCTTAATTACTATAACCATCCTAGCAAGTGTGAAAAGGTATACTTAGTGAATTTCCCTAATTTCTACTGATGCTTAATATCTTTTCATTTATTAGCCATTCATACATCATCTTTATTCAAATCTCCTCATACTGTTACTAGCCTTTAAGGCTCAGATTGTCTTTTACTGTAATAATTTTTTTTTTTGGCACCCGGGATCAAACTCAGGACCTTGTGCTTGTGAGGCAGGCAGCAGAACCACTGAGCTAAATCCTCAGCCCTGTAATAAATTTTTAATACCATTTACCATATATATCAGTCATACCTGCTATGTATTTATGGCAATGCCGCATCATTTATATTCCTACATCTTTGTAATATATTTTGAAATTAAGAAGAGTGATGCTTCCAGACTCGTCATTCTTGGTCAAGACTGCTTTTACTATTTGTGATCTTTTGACGTTCCATGAGTGTTTTAGATTTTTTTTTTTTCCTATACCTGTATAGAATGCCATTAGGATTTTGTTAGGATTACACTGAATCTGCAGATCACTTTGGAGACTATGGTCATTTTACTCTTTTTTATGAATACGTGTTTGTAATATATAATAAACGCTCATGTGGGAAGTATTTTACTATTACAATCCATGAACATGGGATGTCTTTCATTTTTTCTTATGTCTTTAATTCCCTTTATCGGTATTTTTAACTTTCAGTTTTCAAGTCTTTCACCTCTGGTTTATTCCTATTCTTTTTCTTAATATAAATGAAATTGTTTTAATTTTCTTTTTGGATAGTTTGTAGTCAGTATGGAAAGATACCACAAATTTCCATGTTAATTTTGTATCCTGGAAAGTTACTGAACTTGTTTATT